AGAGAGAGAGAGAGAGAGAGAGAGAGAGAGAGAGAGAGAGAGAGAGAAGAAACCGTGTGCTGACACTATCGGACCGAAGAAACGGCCCTTATCAACAGGCAACATGAATCCGGAAGCGGGGCGACATGCACAAAGGACAAATAATATGGCAGTGTATCTTTCCATGTTCTGGCAGAAGATTCATTCATGCGTTGGGTGGTGGAGAGCGAAGGGCCGATGAATCAGGTAAGCACGTAACGTATCTCTGGAAGCTTTCTTTTTTTTTTTCTTGGAGAATCTCTGAACAAAGATACATTTCCATATATGTCTTCTTGTGCATGTCGAGAGTAGTGCAGCGAGCCGGTTGGTAAACATTACCGTTGAGGTTCTCACAGGTTGGACGCGCCGGGCTTCACTCGTGCAAAGAGATTCTTCCTTTACGTTTTTTTCTTTTTATTATTAAAAAAAAGAAATCCAGGAAAAACGGCTGTCAGTTCCGTCGTTGTCTACTTCAGAAGTAATACGAAGAGAACGTTATGAGAGATCACGACCCTCATCATGACTGAATCTGGCCTGCAAGAACCCTACCATACAGACTACAATTACCGTTGAGGTTCTGACAGGTTGGACGTGCCGGGCGACACTCGTGCAAAGAAATTCTTGATTTTTTTCCATTCCAGGAAAAACGGCTGTCAGTTCCGTCGTTTTCTACTTCAGAAGTAATAAGAAGAGAACGTTTTGAGAAATCGCGACCCTCATCATGACTGAATCTGGCCTAGAAGAACCCTACCATACAGACTGCAATAACCCTACCATACACACAGAGTGTTACCCGAACTACAGATTACTAAAAGCTTGCGGGCCAACGAGCGGCCTCCAAAAAAAATCTGGCTGCCCGTTTCTTATTTTACACGAGCAGGGGGCCAGGTCTACTACCGCCCCTCACAACTTTCTTTTTTTTTTTTTGACCCCCATTTTTGGAGGTGCGCCGCATGCAGTGCGCGCGTGTCGTGCGGGATGCGCCGTGCGGCGCACGTGCACAGCGCAGCGCATCGCGATGCACCGCATGTATGATCTATATGTATATATATATCGTCACATACCCACAAACTAAAAGAGCGCACTTTGCGAAACAAAGAATAAAAACAAAAAACGGGCACATTGCAAAAATAAAAACAAGAACAAAAGCAAGGGCAGATTGAAACCATTAAATTTCTCATTCTTCTTTGAACTCCACCTCCACTGTGCCTCTCACGTGCAAGGCTCGCCACGTTGATGAAGTTGAGCGCG